GAGATTCTGATTTCCACATTTTCAGAAGGAAAAATAATGTTATTCAATTTAATTTTGGTTAATGTTTGACATCTATGTGCTGAAGTTAGGGCCATTGAAGTAACCAATTTGAGAGTAACTTCCTCTAGTTTTAGTGTTGGCAAAGGATGCCATTTGCTTAAGAAAGTCAAGACTGGTGTTGGATTCCATGAAAACAGGTACTTAGGTTGACTTGGTCTGGTATTATAAACACCTCTTAGAAATCTCTTCAGAATCGATTGATGTTCAATTTTAATGTTTAGTATGAGGGACAGTGCCGATTTAGTTGTATTCAAAACAGAGTAGGAGGCACCTTCATTGAACTTCATAGTTAAAAATTTCATCAAGTTCTCCATGGTATAAGTGAAAGGATCTAGGTCTTCATTCTCACAAAATAACCACCAAGATTTATAAGAGGAGTTATACTGTTTTTGAGTGGCTGTGGAAAGTGATGCTACAAGCAGCGGAACGCTACACTCGGGAAGTTGCCGTCTCAACATGCCCTGCCTGATAACTTCTCCACAACCAGGGAAAGATGATGATGGAGGGGATGCTGTTCCCTAGAAGGAGAAAGTTAAAGATTTGCATTAGGCTTGACATATAAAGGAGTTTGTACAAGGAGTTTATTAAACAGAGGATACCATGGTTGACTAGGCCAGTGAGGTACAACCAATATCCCCGTCGCCCTGTCCTCCCTAATTTTCTCTTATACTCTGTTCAAAATTGCGAAGGGCGGAAAAGCATAATCCCAATTAATGGTGAAAGCGTCTACTGTGAAAGATCCAGGATCTGGTCTCCATGAAATATATTTTTCACATTTTTTGTTCAAGTATGATACAAACAGGTCTATTTCAGGAGTTCCATATGTCTTAACAATTTTTTGGAATATTTTATCAGACAATTGATATTCAGTTTCCTTTGATGTTCTCCTAGATTCAATATCAGCTGTATTATCATTGGTATTCACATATGATGCCTGTATATATATATTCTTTTCCTCACAATATTTCCAAATTGCTTTAGTTATATTATCCAAATGATCATATTGAACACTTCCCATTTTATTTATACAGGCAACTGCAGTTACATTATCTATCCGCAATAGTAATGAACAACTGGACATATTTTTTGTAAATGATTTCAAGCCATAAAAAGCTGCTAACAGTTCCAAATAATTTAAATGCATGGTATTTTCCTTTCTTGACCAGAAACCATTTGCTTTCAGTCCTCCAACTGTTGCTCCCCATCCTGTTTTACTAGCATCACTGAATATTTCCGCCTGAGCATTTACTGTACCAAAATATTTACCATTGTCTATATTTTTCAACCACCATTGAAGAGCTGTTCTGATTTCTACTGATATGCACATAGTCTTTTGATAATTATAATTGTTTGCTCTTAAAATTTGGAATTTACATTTTTCTAGGGTTTTTACATATACCAAGCCATACTTAACGGCAGGGCATGCTGCTACTACTTTTCCTACTAGCATTGCAAAATCGATCACCCCACAATAGGATTTTTTCAAGAAAACTTGAATACAATTACGAATATCTTTTGATTTTTCATAAGGCAGTTTCAGAGTTAGGTTTTTGGTAGAATATATAAATCCCAAGAACTTGAGTTCATTTGATGGTGTCAAGGTGCTCTTTTGGTAATTTATAATAAATCCTGAGCTAGTCAGCAATGAGACAGTTTCTCTAATATTACGAATACATTCAGATTTCGTTTTTCCAATCAATAACAAATCATCTAAATATGCTACTGAAAGAAAACCTCTTTTTCTCAGTACTTTCAAAATGGGTTTCATCAATTTAGTGAATAAGTAAGGAGCTATATTGAGCCCAAAAGGCAAACAATTGAATTGATATAAAATATCATCAAATTCAAATTTTGAAAATTTTCTGAAATTTTTTGCAACAGGCAATAAAACATATGCATCTTTCAAGTCCAGGCAGGCTAAGAAATTATTTTTGAAAATCAAATTGATTGCTGTTCTGTAGTCCTCTAGCTTAAAGTGAGGAGCATCAATGAACTCATTTAGTTTTTTCAGATTTAGAATAAACCGGTTTTTGCCATTTGATTTTTCTACTAAGAAGAAAGAAGACAAGAACTCATTTTTTTCTTTGTTCAAAATCGATATTGCCCCTATTTGGAGCAATTCAGATATACAGTCTCGATATTGATACATTTCTGAGGAGTTTATGCAAACCCGTGGTCTTGAATTTTGTCTAGGGTTACATTTAAAAGGGATAATGTACCCTTTCACTCACTCAAGTATCTGCTTATCTTCAGTTATTTTTGACCATTTCTCTGAAAAATTACTTAGCCTACCTGCATATGCATATACCTTATTTATTTTTTCTGTTTCTCCCCCTTGCGGTAGTAGGTCTGCGAGTAGGTTTGCCCGTTCTTCCTGTTGGTGTCCTTGTATCGGTTCTTCGGGGAGAAGTTTTGTGGACTGTTGTGGGAGGTTTTCCACTTGGCTTTGCTGTACTGGCCCTGGTAGTTTAAAGACTGGAGCACAGGCTGCCGTTGAATTTTAGCCTTTTTAATAGGGACTGGTGCTTTCATCTCCTCCCCCATTTTTTTCAAGGATTGAGTAGCCTTGATATGGTCTTGTAGTAGACGTGCACCAAATAAATATTCATCAGTTAGGCTTTCTGCTACTGCCTTCTTCACGTCACCGTTCATCAAAGGTCCTAGTAAATATATTCTATGAGCTGAAATCGCATGGTGGAGATCAGCAAACAAATGACCAGCATCAGCTAGTAGTGGCAAAATGACAGTGGTCCATCGTTGAGGTGCTTCTGCATCTCCCATAGCTGTTCCAAGAGCTGTTAGCCCAGCAGCAATTTGCTCTTGAAGTTTTGCCAAGAATCTGTCTTGCTTCTTTGATGATTCGTTGATTATACTGTCAACTTCTCCATTCAATTTTGGGCTGCCTAGAGTGGAAAAATTTCCGGGTGTCGGATACTTAGCCACAATCTGATTCCTTAAGTCTTTTTCCAAACCTTTACTTAAGAAATTAGCCCACCGCACAACAATTTCGTTATCCAGTTCGGGACCCTTATCTGATGTGCATGAAGGGTTTGTTCCAAGAGCTCTAATCAAGTCAGCATTTTGTTCTGTTTGCTGTTCAACCCTGTGATCGTTTGCTAAAATAGAGGATTATTAGTAGGTAGGTACCTAAAATATATAGGTAGGTATTTATTTTGGCAAACATTTTGACTATTTTTGTTCGTAGAAACACATTAGAAATCAAGGTATATCATTTGATAACCCGAATTCCGTAAGCCTTCAATACATATAGATATTCAGGGGAAAAAAACTTGAGACAACATGTGTTGCTCAATCAAGTGTATGATTCATGTCAAGAAAATGCTTCTGACTATTATTCTCTGTTATCGAGCGCATGTGCGCCAATACAGTAGTACTATCGTGTATTTTGGAATCGCTTTTTCATCATTAAAATCGATAAAACCAGGCCACAGAAAACAAAGATAATATAACCTGTCCACATATAGCACTCATTTGAATAAACAATGCTCTACTCACTTTCCATTTCAGGTGAAATCTCATCAGGATTTTGCCGTTGATTTTCGACATGATCTGGAAGATTTTCATTAGAATCCGACAACGAAGTCGAATCTTCACTTGAGGACTCATCATAGCTATTTTCTGGTTCTAATTGTCGAATCAGCGTCTCAAATTTTTCCATCTTTCTTCGAAGATCTTGCACTGTTATGTTATTACGTTTTCTTTTTGGAGGCATAGTTCTTGAAACACTTCACCTTTTTTTACACTTCACTTTTCACTTTCACTTTCGGTTTGTGACCGTACGCTTCAAGGCACGAAAATGCAATGACGTATTGGTCAATGGCTGGCAGGGAGGTGGGGATATTTTTTGAAGTGTGAACCGTGCCTGCTTCAGGTATCGCGAGTGCGACTACAGGGTGTTGTAATTATCGAGTACAAAACTATGAAGAATAATTGATATTTATATATTTTTTTAATTCTTTCTCCAATTTGTTTTTATTTTTCATCATTTTCAGATGTACTGGTAGTTTATTGACCATTTTCGGTCCATAGTAAGTTATGAATTGTTGAGTTCGATTTTTTGTATAAAATGGAGGTTTAATTGACAGGTTGGCAGTTGTTCTAGTGTTATTATATGCATGAGTGTGATATACGTTTGAAGAGTTCAGTGTCCGTATTAGACTGTGGTACACATATAATTTCCTTACTTCAAATAGTCCGGTTTCAAGATAGAGTGAAGTAGTTGGATATCTGCGATTTTTCAAACATGATTTTCATCAAGCAATTCTGTATAACTTGAAGATTGTTCATGATAGTTTTACCTACGCTACCCCAAATTATAATGCAGTATCTTAATATTGATTCAGCCAAGAGGAATCATAGATCATAAGTTGTAGTTTTTTATCAACAATATTTCTCAATTGATAAAATTCATTTATTAACTTTCTGAGTCTTTTCACTGTATACTGTATATCTTCATTTCAGCGAAGATGTTGGTCCACCATCATGCCAAGATATTTAATGCATTCAACTTTTTCAATTATTGAGCAAGTACAGTTTATATTATCGCATCCAGATTTGTGAATTTTTAGAAATTTTGCTGTCGGCTGATCTCTTGCAGTTGCAGAGTAACTCAAAAATTCGCCTGGAATTTTTGTAAATCATTGTTTAGAGGCTAAGAGAAGCAATAGAAGTATCTTTGAATTGTTCAATGTTGCCGGACGTTAAACAATAATTTTATGATATGATTATGTGAGATCGAACATTTTCTCTTTTTTATATTTATCATAGTTTCATACACTATATTTCATAAAATTTATCGCTTCAATTTGGGAAATACTCAGTAGTAGTCTCTACTCTACGCAGTTTGCGTTATTCGAGAATTTAGAATGACATTGGAAACATTACGATGAGAATGAATTTCATTCCATTTTATTTTTCAGGAAAAATGGCCAGACAGTTATCAACTTGCTGGAGCATTAGGATTCAAATTTCCATATTTCATCAAAACTCCTTTGAGCGATGTTGTGCCACAAGCTAGTCTGAATGGTGTGAATCTGATAGACGAACTTTTGGAATGGAACCCTGCTCTTAGGCCAAGTTCCCAGGCAGCACTGAAACATCAATATTTCCTGGTTGGTAACGTTCTTCTTCGAACTTCTAGGATACCTATGACGTTAGTTCATTTCATTTTGCATCAGCAATACTCAATCGCTCGGGTGGTAATAAAATAAATGCACTTTCAATTGTCATAATCTATGGAAATTTATTTTGTTCAGATGGTAAAGTTGATGCTATATATAAGCAGATTAAATCTACAGATTGTTTGCCAAATACATAGTTACATATAGGGTATATGAATAGCAACATGGTTCGACTATAAAACGTCTTAGCTAGTCGCCGCTGGAATATGTGGACACAAGTGAAACTGAAATTCATAACGGTGAGAGTTGCTCTTCGTAACCGCGGTGTTACTATAAATGCTCTGCTAAATGTAACGATTCGATAAACAAACTGTTCAGTTTATTCCTAATGTCAAGCATTATCATTATAAAACTAATTGACATTTACCTACGTCCCCTATAGAAAATAGGCAAGAACACACGATACACAACCTCAGTTAGTAGAGAGTTGAAGTAATCACTGTACGTAGAGCTCCACGTAGACGTTAACGTACGAAAAATAACGTTTACGTATTGTCGTTAAATTGAGTTGAAGTCGCCACTTTGGTCGTCACTGTCATCATAACGTAATAATACATTTTGTTTTCGGTTTGTATTGGTCATTTTTGGTTGTGTGTTTAGATTCGAACATTTATTCCTGTCAAAATTAGAGGACTCCTTGATGCAGAACTCGTTGGTGATCTCGAATTTGATAATTTTGACTCACCGGCATATTTCGAGTATCGTTTGGTTAACGTACGTTGATATTTGAGGTATACGTGAAGGAACGTGAGATAACGTACACCCGTAAGCCCACTAACAACGCAAACGTGAAGAATTGGAAAATGCGCATGCGTAGCTGTCAATTTCTACGTTTACGTTAACGTTCATGACAACACTTCAACTCTCTAGTAGCTCTTTACGCTCGGTAAGCAAAACGCACAGTTTGAATATGCTATTCAACATAATAGTAATACAATCTGAACTAATGAAGATATTACAATGTCATATGATTGGACACATCTGAATACTTCTTATATATTTACCAGAGTTGTGAAATATTGATATATAGAGTATGCCTGAAAAAGTTGCCAACAAATAGAGAACTTGTATTTTTGATTTTAGGAAAAAAAGTTCTCCAAAGCCTGAAACCAAAAATGCAAATATCAGTTATCGATTTTTTTCAGTCGTATACGAGGTATGTCAAGAAATATTAATTTTGCCGAAGAGTAAAGTACAGTTGGTAGCATAAACAAGTCGTACAAGGTTTGTATGGTGTAAACCTGCCTATAATGTTCCACATTACATCAAAAAGAAGTTCACCTACATATTTGCGCGTTACTAATAAAAATTGTCTGAATTTTGACATTACTTGTCGAAGTCGATAATAAGATACAACTGTACGATTATTTTCGACAATATCGAAAATTATTAAAATGAAAATTTGACGAGATTTGAAAACTATGTGGACGCTGTAGTAGGTATATGACCGTAGGTGAAGTATGGTATACGTAATGCGTTGTAAAGCAATTATGCATGGAATTACACACTAGTATAGCTACGAGGCTGCGTGCGAAATTTCTCAATTCATGCGTAATATATATATATGCTTCCTACAACACAAATCACGTGCCTAATATACTATTACCTACTACCAATATGTTATCTGAAACATTACGACACTAATATTAATTTCGTAATGAGATACTGTCCGCACTAGTGCGCACTATCGCAATAATAATACAAAATGTTCAGAATTCATACAAAAATCATCAACAAGGGCCCAGTTCGTTTTTGGTTCGGAAAAGATCGTTGCTTAGCAGCGGGCTGAAATACTAGATTAGAATATTTCGTGGTCTGATATTTCTAAGAAAAGGGAGGCAATCTTGAGCGATTTCAGAAAGATATATAATTATTTATATTATGTTCAGGGAATTCTGCAAAATTGATGATCGAGTATTTCCACCATTAATACAGAAGAATATATCCACATTGAATGACCATTGGCCTTCTATATTTTTAAAAATCATAAAATGGTAGAACTTGGGATAGGATAATGATACATGAAATGTATTCTCAATTCTATGTTGAATCTGAAAAAGAAGCAACAGGAAGTTTCAATGATTTTAAGTGTCAGCTAAAATCGGTAGATTTGGGACTCATGAACATACTTCAAATTCTGAATAATCCCTAAAATGCCGTTTTTCGGGATTTACTCGAGCGCGGCAGATTAACATAAGGGGGGTATCCTTGGACCTTGTGAAGTACTCCCACCATTCATGGGCCCTTTATATGATGTCGAAAGTTTAGGGCAGCCGATCAGATCAGTTGAAAAAAATCGATTTGTCAGAAATACTCGAGCGCATCAGATCAAGATATAGTACGATAATTACATGCAGGAAAGTGTACATTACCATAATTTGACCATTTGATCATGACCTGTACATTCTCGAGCGCGGTTTATTTTTTTTTTCCATTCTGAAGGCAATTAGTCAAGGATCACGGGAATAACATAATCTGCCGATTTGCACGAGCTTTTATTCGTCTGAGGCACGAGCCGAAGTAGCCAAAATTATCAATTAAGCGTGGAGCTTGCAGCCACTGGGAACTATGTATGTAATTGTGGTAACGTAGGGAACTGAAAAAAAGTTACACTCCGTATATTGTTATCAATGCTTGAACCTTGTCAGCTCATAAGGAAGAATCTGAAAATGCTATAAAATACAAGGTGTGCTACAAGAAAAAGTATAAGTTTGATACGCCACGCATACAACAAGGCCTGCATGCTCCGTGGGTGACGTCATTAGTGAGGCCTAACCAGCGGCTCGAAACGACAAGCGCTTATAGCGCTATAAGGCGACCGCGTATTTCGATTTTAGTTTTAGATCATCATTGAGCTGATTTTGCTATTTTTTGAAGGGCTTCCGTTTAAAAAAGGATGCCAGTCGTCAACTGAGCCCTTCTTCGCACCCCATTCGATTTTATTATGGAAAAACGAAGTTTTAAAGCAAAAACCAGGATAAAACACAAATATCCACCTACAGCAACCCATTCGAATAAAATATATTGGCAAAAATTGTGGTGACGGTAAATTTCACACCTACTTATACAGGGCCCGCAGAACATAAACTTATCGTGAGATTGATCGAAAGAAAATTGTGGAAAATGTATTTTATTTTGATTGGCATGCCGTTTGTTACAATTACCTATATTTATCTTGGAGAATTCCTATTACCTGAAAAAATAACCAGTGAGTGTTTTCAATTTTCTGTTGTTGGATTTTTCACCCAAGTGGATCGGATCGTTACACTTGAAACCGTAATTTTTAATGGTAAAACTGCATTTATCATGCGATGTTTTTTTTTTTAAATTTATTTCGGTACTCACGTATTTTTGTCTGATAAACCGAATTTTATAATGAAAATGTGAACAAACCACTATTTATTGAGATATTTCAAGAAAAAGTTCGAAATTCCGCCTTCTTTCTCCCCTTGTGTTGGGGGCATTTGAAGCTACTTGCTCTTATTTTGTCATTGGACACTTTAAATACTCATGATGTACTTCGATGGCACATTTTTATATAAAAAATTTATCAGGAAATATGATTTTTATGGCGAGTTTTTCATATTTAGTGAACAAGCATTCCAGATGACGACCATTTAATCAATAGTCAATCAAAATACGAGATGTCAAATGTCAATAGATTGCTTTCGAATGACATTACACACGCCATTATTTTGAATGATATTCTTTCCTTCTTTTCACTAAATATGGACCAATCTCAAGAAAATCATATTTATAGTTGAATTATATATAAATTGTCCGATATGATGAAAAAAGAAGGGAAATTTGTTCTTAATGCCATCCAGAAGACAGGTGAAAAAGAAGGTGAAATTTGGGAATTTTTAGTCAAATATCTTCATGATAAATATCATGATAAATGCAGTTTTACCTTTTTAAGTAGAGTGTTTGTAGTTCATGTTAATATGATAGTTGCAATTTGATCATTGGAATGAATTCTGCATTCATTGCCACGAGGCAAATGACCGTTTTCAGAAAGAAATTTGAGAATGAGAGTTAAAAATGCCCGTTTCAAGAAAATTTCCTCAAATTCATAGATGATTTTGTTGACTATAATATACGAATACAAAACTAACTGCACAATCAAAGCTTTTCTATTTTTCCTCTACCTATACTTTTTATGAGAGAGTAATTGTTCTATTATCAATTCATCATTATAAATTGAGCTCTGTTTACTACTGTACTTAGATGGAGTAAAATCCTCGCGGTGAATTGCATATACCCACATTTCCGATAGCTCCTCGTCCAACGGGAAACTAAAAGCATGAACTTTCGAACCACCCACATAATTCCCCCGACAAAAGGGAACACAACACTTGAAAGGCATTGTTATTTCGCCGATCACAACACAACATATTTCACAAAACAGTAATTTTTCCGCCAATTATTTTGATGAATAAACAACAAAAGAACTCGGGACCGTTTCAAAAACATACGTGAATCACCGATGAATTAACACGAACTGACGCGTTAGTCGACAAGCGATAAAATAAAACACTGGCCTCTCTTGGTGACGTCACGAGCTGTTTACGTCAGAGTCTGCTGGCCTTGTTGTATCGGTGGTAACGGTATAACGCAAAATATTACAGAAATGTACTGTTCATGAGACTATACCATCTCAAGAATTTTTGTTTATCTACCTCAAACAGAGGCCATTATCTCACTTTGTCACACTATTGGTCCACCCTGTAACTCTGAAATTCTTAATTCTTCGAGCTGTCGAAGTCCTGCTACGGAAAACTGACCCACCCTCTATAGTTTAGTTATAACATTCAGTTAACAAAAAAAATTAAACCGTCAGATTAAGATAATTCCTCTACATAATTGTCAGAATATGGGTCGATACGGCAAGGACCTCAAGATAAAGCGTCTGTATATTAATCTGATGCGCT